CAGGTGCACAAATACGGGAAACATGTATCCAAACGCCGGTCCCCCTCCCTACCACTCCACCCTGCAAATTTGTCAAGGCAACGAGGGCAAACACTCGGGTTTAACTTCATTAGGTTTTGTATAAATGCGGATTGCGCGGGGACAACATCGCAGTTTGGAGTCAAGTGTTTGCCCGCCTCCCCCTCTTTAGGTCGAGACCACATTCTCACATGCCAGCGGGTCGAGTATTTTAACAGCCCGGGACAAGATACGTGTTGCCAGGCGACGAGCGCTGACAGGCACATCCCTGCCGATTTTTGGAAATGTCACACAACGTCGAAACACTGCCGATTTGAGCGCCCAACATTTGCGGACCAACTTGTAATTTGGTCTCTCGGAATCGTCAGATCGATGTTAGATATTTCCGCGGCCCGCTGTGTCGCCAGGCCGGAATGGTCCGAAATTCGTCCCGCCTCGCACCTAACAGTCAAGTCAAAATTGTTTTTGGGCATGCAAATAGCAAGGGTCGGGCTCTAGATTTGCCGGACCAGTGGTGTAAGAACAGAAGCCTCCATAGCACGCCAAAAACTTGGGGTTTTGGGGGTCTTTTTTGGGAGATTTTAAGTGCTATTTTCTGATTGCATGTAGACAACATAGCCGGCCTGGTTGAATTACCACCGTTTTAGAACTGGGCTAATCAGAAAACAGCCGAAGACCACCAAACCCCCAGTTCTATAAGCCTGTTACGTAGGCTAGCTACTGGGTAGATTGAAGACAGGTATCTACTTACATGTAAATGTTATCCCTTCCTACATTTCCTATAGCAAGATGGGGGAGCTGAAACAACCACCACCCCCCATCCCACACTCCCCCCAAATATCGCACACACTTTACAATCTCTGCAACTAACATCGATATCATGGAGTGCTCTAGACATGATGTTTCACCTAATAAGCTATTGTCATTTCTTAAATCAAGTACAACAGATTTCGAGAGACAAGATGCTACAGTGAGGTTTGAATATATCATGTAAGTTGTCTAAATTATCATACGATGCAACCCAATACCATGCAAAAATTGGTAAATAATGGATAAAAGACTACTTTGTTATTAGAAAAAAAATACTGAAACTCATGATTAGCCCCGATTGATTGTAGCGTATGCTAGTCTTTAATGTTGTGGTAACTAGGATGTTTAGTTTTATTCTATACTTACCTTTATTTTCTACTATATTCAATAAAGCAGGCTGTGCACCCATCTCACGAGTTAGTAGTTGTTGCCCTACATTCTACTGTGTACAGTATCGACATGCAGTTAAGTTCTGTATGCATGCGTTTTTAAACCATTGGATTCTGCAACTGCATCATCAGTATTTAGTGTCAGCAAGTGGGTATGGAAATGGCATGATGAAGGTATGGAGTAATGTATGTTCTAGAATTCCCTCGTTAGAATCAGCTCGCAGTAGTGTCGCTTGGGATAAAGGAAAGGGTCAGCATCAAGAGTGGGGAGGGGCTGGGGTATCGTATAGGAAGTAGGTAGGAAAGTGAGTTCGTGAAGGTAGAAATCTCTGATTTCTTATCAGTCTACTACTACCAATAGTGCTACTTCTGCTGCTACTACTACTGCTACTACTACTACTACTACTACTACTGCTACTACCACCACCACTACTACTACTACTACTACTACTACTACTACTACTACTACTACTACTACTACTACTACTACTACTACTACTTCTACTACTGCTACTGCTACTACTACTACTACTACTACTACTACTACCTCTACTACTGATGTTACTGCTTGTGCTACTACTACTATTACTACAGTACTACTGCTACTACTTCTACTGCTGCTACTAGGCTACTACTACTACTAATGCTGCTACTATTACATATGCTACTACTAATGCTACTGCTTCTATTACTAATTGTGTATGGCATAAGGTGATACAAATGTAATGCAAAGGCAACATACATGTATGTGTTGTTAGAAAAACCTTTAAAACCAAAAGTCTGAAAATGACAAACCCAGATTTACTGAAACTTAGCTCAAACACATTACATAAACATCAACGTATTTCATTTTATAGTCAAGCATGGCACATTCCCTGCCCTTCTTATCAAAGCTAACCTAGACAAACTGTTTCTACAAAAACGTAGATATCCTTCAACGTCGGCCCACGGGTAAATCTATTGGGGGGAGGGCCACTTTAGTTTCTTGGTGATGAAGAACAAACAGCAGACTATTTGACCAGCTGATTCGCACGTTTACCCAGTCCGCCACCAGAAGCGAGTTGAGGTGAGAAAAAGTAGTAAGGCAAACTTCCTGAACATAAGAGGGGAGGAGGGGCGAGGGAAAAGGTGGATTGTATCACTTCTCTCTCTAACACCGAGTTTGAACCGCCCTTGTCTCAACATGCCGGCCTGCGCGTCTGTAAGTATAGCACGTTATTCATACTATACAACATTCGTGTAGAGTCAGGCAACGTCAATGTCAATAGCTGTAGAGGGGGAGGGGGGGATGTGTTCTCAAACGTTCTGGAAGGCAAAGTTTGCAGGATCCTGAATGCATGTATAGATGTAGACGTTCATAAACAGGCTATCGTTGAAACTTCAGAAGAACCTCAGACTTCTGTTTATAATGAGGAAACAGGCTTACTTGAACAGAAGTTTGGTTTCCTTTTAAATGCCCACTATCATGATAATGGTCATTCTGGCATACTCATTTTCACCTGAGTGAAGTGAGGAAAGTCGTCTTAAGTGCCTTTCCCAAGGGCACAAGATCAGAGACAAGGTAGGGTTCGAACCCGGGACCTCTTAGTTCCGAGTCGAACACGCTACCGTTACGCCATGCGACCCGTGACTTTGTAAAATAGATATTTGTTGTTGTAGTGATTTGGGCAAGCTCAGCCTTCCTTCCTGTCGAAAATGTCCACGAAATGAACAGAAAGAACGTTACAGATTCTAAACACGATCAGAAAACACCCAACAACAACCTTCATGCTATACTAAAGGCACCCTAAACGATTTCAGGACAGTAAAATTAAACTGGATTTTCTGGTCATTTTTTTAAATGTAGTAGGTTGAATCAGGCCTGTCATAGCATACTGATATCTGTGAGTCAAAAATACGATGTCACTACAGAAAACGGTTACTTATTTCGTATCGTAGGCTGGTTCTAGATATTTATTGGTACCAAAAAATAAAAGGACTCCTCGCGTAACTTGTTTCGGGGCTATTTTAACGCGCTTCAAGTATGATATGGTGACAAAAATGTGCATAGAAATGACACTGTAGTAAATGTCAATATCATCAAGAATATTTGTTGTTTTGCTGTCCTAAGATTACATTGGATTCATTTAATAATCACCAGGGTTTAACTAAGTTTTGTAACTAATGTTACGCTACCTCACTCACAATCAGATATCTTTAACATGCTCCTTTGGCATGTCCTACTCAGATATCAGTGTACGTTAGAAAATTCATATTTGAATCACTACAAAAGCGACACCATGTTGTAAATAGCTGATATAACCCCTGAATTACAGAATGTAATAATACTCTTCCTAAGAAAACACAATAGATTAGCTTTCGTGTCATTATGGACTAGCTCGTTAGAATTATATTTTAGTATTAGTTTGTGTATGTATGTACCATTGTTGTTTCTTTGCCATACATTGTAACAGCTACAGTTGTTACCTTCGCCAAGAAGGTTATGTTTTCAGAGGCGTTCGTGTATGTGTGTGTGTGTGTGTGTGTGTGTCTGTCAACACGATAACTTGAGAAGGCCTTGATGGATTGTCTTCATACTTGGTAGGTGGGTAGGTCTTGATGAGACCTCAAAATGATTAGATTTTGGACCCCCTAGCGGCTTGTTATGGTACTGCAGCTGAACTTCCGGTTTTGATATCTCAGGATCTAGACATGCTATGGTGATGAAATTTGGATGGTAGGTAGCTCTTGTGATGAGGAAGAAGTGACGTGAGTTTGGGCCCCCTAGCGGCTTGCCCTGGAACTGCAGGGATATATTCTTGAAAATATTCAAAAGGGGATAACTCAAGAACCGGTTGACGGATCGTCGTGATTTTTAGTATGTAGGTAGCTTACATGATGCTTAATATAATTATGTGACAATTATGCAAATATGGATGTAATTTGCATAATTTATGGGGAAATTCTATAAATCAGCTGCATTCCATGATAAGACAATTGAAGCTTGTGACATTGGTAATTGACAACGAGAGAAACACAGGAAGATATTGATTATCTTATTAATGACTTAATTTGCATAATTAATGAGAAAAGTTTATAATTATGTAATGATAACTGCCTGGAATTTCATACTTGTGGTATTTGAAAGTTAAGTTGAGGTGAACATCATTAAACATAATTTATTCAAATCAGGACCTCATTTGCATAATTTATTAGGAAATACTAGAATGCATTGTTTGTTAATATAAGACTGTCTTTTTGTTGAGATTATGATAAAATGATATAATTCATGAAAATTAGGTTCCTATTTTTAAATCAAGGGGAATAATCTAATGTATAATTTGTCAGTCATAAAGATTAACATCATTTGGCGAAGGTATGAGATCGGGGAACTCTAGTTGAGCAATAAATTTGATTTGATTTAATTTTGTGTTAAACGTTTTTACAGAGATCTAGAGAATGTTTTTGAAACGTGTTAGCCACATGTGTTCAGTCTGCCCACAGCAATGCTTATTACCCGGAGTAACCTTCACATCAGACGTTTGTCCACGGAGCTTCAAACGAATATCTGTGTTTGAAACTCGATGATTTGACGCTTGCGGTCGTGCAGAATGGGACACCTGCGCTTTCATATAACGACTAATTAAGATTGTTTCTAGGTCAGGAAATAATTGTAGTTATGAACAAATGAATTTAGCACAAACAAGAACAGAAATGGTTAAGTAGTAAACCGTGTAGTGTTTTAAAATCACATCACTGGGAAAATGCAAAAGACGGTAGTTAGAACCAAAAATGAATAAAAACATTTACGCTGATTTAATGACCTTTTCTCCCCTACAAATCCAGTGGTATGACCCAATTCAGGATACGATCTAACCAATCATCAACCGTTTCACTTGATAATAACCAGGCAAAACTGCACAAAAGCCACAGGAACGACTTCTGAGGCCACCGTTAGCAGAATTTATGTTCATTCCTCCCCAGATTCTCCATCAGCATTTACTACGGCCATGGTGTACCGCCACTTTTACAGTGTAGGTTTATTTTTTGTATGATTTTGACATTTCATTACTATCCTTGCCGTTTTATTGCTTTATGTGCTTATACACCAAAGTTTATAATATGCGGTCTATAAAATAATGTAAAAAATATTTCTTGCTTTGGTCTTAAGCAATGTTTTCTTTATTTCTCACGTGTACCCACGTGTGATGTTTAGGAAATTTTAATCGGTTGTAAACTTAATTCTTATTGTCCTTAATTTGCCCTTAATATAATTTTATTGCCCTTTTATGTGTATATTCAGTCTATCTATAGTGTACATTGAAGCCATGGTACCCAAATCCTGATATGTCTATGCACATATACGGTCAGATCTCACTACATCATGTATGTATATTTCACAGTTCAAATATCTAATATAGACAATAACATTGAGCAAAGCACAATATATGTTTTTATCAATTTTCTTATCTATCAGATCATGAAATTCTTTTTGATGTACCAAAATACATAATTCTGTCTTTGTTACCATTATTTGATTATTTCAATACGATATTAGCGAACAGGAATTTTGACCTGACCTTCTATATCGTTTAATGTTTTTGTAATATATTTTGTATTATCGTAATGCGATTATGCATCGATGTATACTTATAACAGTGGACCACTTATAGTTGCAAAGCAATTAACATACACATAGATACGTTGAAGAATTATTTCTGAACTGACAAACAAGTCATCAAACTATTCATAAAGATGAGTCATTTTTGTAGCACAATTACGTGGAATTTATGGCCTAACTGAGGGAACAGGTGAAAAAATCGCTCTTGGTATGAGGCGCAGAAAATATGAATCAGAAGAATTTGTCAGCTTTCCTGGTCACTGAATCCACAATGTAGTAGCTAATTTGCGTTGTAGTTTGGATAAAGAATATGCAAACAATCCCTATAGATGGATTAGATGGTTGGGGTTTGTTATCTAAATATTTGAAAGCATAACATGTGAACTGTTTAGATCCTCGTGATGTGGATAACGTTTATACTTTTTAATGCTTTGCTGCTGTTATTTTTGTTTTTGTTTCGTGAACTGATATTTAAAGTGGTTGTGTTTGGTCTGTGTCCAAAAACATGTTCAAATGGCAATTTTGAAAGTATAAAATCAACCCCTACCCGTACACCACACAAACCGACCACCTGGTGTGTTTTTGTGACGCCAGTATTTTATATTTTGTAGCCAGAGTTCCCATATGTGATTCTTAATCATCATCTTCGCTCAGATGTACTGTTCTTCCCCGCTAACTCTCGGCGGAGCCGGCCGCTAGTTTACCGGCTTTGTCTGCCCCGTGAGACGGCGTGGCGCCGGTCTCCTGCGGCATCATTACCTCCGCACACCTGTAGAGTTCTCACCCGGACTGCCGCTGAATTATGGCACATTTCTATCATCTTTAATCCGTCTTGATTCAAGTTGGTGGCTAGAAGTCTCTGTCTCCTTCCCTCTCCTGCCATTTGAAAGCTTTTCGTGTCTTTGTAACAGAACTAGCGGCAGAGAACCGTCGTTCCATGAAGAACCTCGCATGGTATATCTGTTGTTGTGAAGGTGTTGTCGTGAGCTATGTTGTTGTTGTTGTGGTTTGTTTGTTGTTTATTCAAGTCAGATACTTGCTCTTTGATGACGAAGGTAACGTTTTGTGGTCCTCTCTATCTAGTTTTCTACGTTCCATTATTCCTAACGTTACAATAAGAAGGAACTGCTTGCTTGATGCAAGATTTTACACACCGAAAGAGAGAGCACATCCAACTTAATGGTATTTTACATGATATTAACTATTAACTGTGGGTGCATAATCTGGTATTGGGATTTTTGCCTTGCGCATCATCATGTTTATTTCTATTGAAGCATTAGAAAAAGCATCAGTGGGACAAAAGCTTACATGACTTTTATTTCCGAGGATGAAAAACAAAAGCATGAGTTGCTGAGTGTCTCGAATGCCCTGCCTTTCATTCAGAACACCAGATTTCACATGTTGGATGCTTGAATGTTGTTCTAAAGTCCTTTTTTTTCTTTCTCTCTCCTTGTCCCAGACGATGTGGGACAAAAGCTTCCATGACTTTAATTTCCTAGGGTGAAAAACAAAGCATGAGTTGCTGAGAGTCTCGAATCTCATGCTTTTCATCCAGGACATCAGATTCTATGTGTTGGATGCTTGAATGTTGTTCTGAAGTCCTTTTCTTCTCTCTCTCTCTGCTCCACAGACGATGCCAGTAGTGAACCTGGACACCAAGCCGGGCTCCATCGCCTGTGGCGGGTGTGGAGAGAAGATTCAGGACCGGTTCTTCCTGCACGCGGTGGACCGACAGTGGCACTCCGCCTGCCTGAAGTGCTGTGAGTGCGACGTGCGGCTGGACTGTGAGCTCACCTGCTTCTCTAAGGACGGGAGGATCTACTGTAGAGAGGACTACTACAGGTTTGTTTTTTTTGTTTGTTTGTTTGTTTGGCGGAAGGATCTACTGTAGAGAGGACTACCACAGGTTCGTTTTTGTTTGTTTGTTTGTTTGTTTGTTTGGCGGAAGGATCTACTGTAGAGAGGACTACTACAGGTTTGTTTTTGTTTGTTTGTTTGTTTGTTTGTTTGTTTGTTTGTTTGACGGAAGGATCTACTGTAGAGAGGACTACTACTACAGGTTTTTGTTTGTTTGTTTGACGGAAGGATCTACTGTAGAGAGGACGACTACAGGTTTGTTTTTGTGTGTTTGTTTGTTTGTTTGACGGAAGGATCTACTGTAGAGAGGACTACTACAGGTTTGTTTTTGTTTGTTTGTTTGTTTGTTTGACGGAAGGCTCTACTGTAGAGAGGACTACTACAGGTTTGTTTCTGTTTGTTTGTTTGTTTGTTTGTCGGAAGGATCTACTGTAGTGAGGACTACTACAGGTTTGTTTTTGTTTGTTTGTTTGTTTGTTTCGCATTCCCGGTTCCCCAGAAACTGTGTACGGAGAGTTGTGAGCTTCTCGGAGTCCATGCTTTGCACAACAGAATGAGACATCACGACAGTATCTCCACCAACCAGAAAATTAAAGACCGTATCCAATGCAATTTCAGGAAAACAAAAATATTTTACATGAAGACACCTGCCTGAGCACATTGCGTCATCATTTCATACTTGAAGCGTTTAAAACAGCCCAAAAACAAAATACATGAGGCGTCTCTATTTTTTGGGGTTACTGACCATCAATACCTACGAGAGAAGCAGCCAACTATACAAAACAAGCAACCATTTTCCGTCAGCGACATCACATTTTTGCCTAACAAAAATCAGTAGGCTTTGGAATAGGATTGATTCAACGTACTACACTGAAAGTATGGTCAGAAAACTGACTTTGAAAACTTAGCCCTAAAAACAGTTTTATCGTTATGAGGCATTCTACATGTCATCTAATTTGGGTAAACGAACGTTGATTGGCGGTTTGTGTTTCATTTAGCGAAATGTTAATCCGATACACCGCTAAGATTTAAATAGCTTTGATTTCCCCTTTTCATTGTCTAGAAATGAGATTAAAATTATCAAACTTCTAGATCAAACATATAACAAACATCTTACCCAGTGGCCACCCTTAATTTGCCGTGAATGTTGACAGTCTGGTCTATGTACTAAGGCGGTAGATGATCTCTTAGTTGTTTTCATCAAACAAAGATAAAACAGTTTTGGAAAAAAGACTTTTGGAAAGCACGTGTCTTGGCTAAATGAGTTTGAATGTGTTTTTTTTTCCATTCCAACATTTATCACAAGACATGGTGACATACTCACGGTGACACACTCAAGTTTTCTCAACTTATTTTTATGCCGCCACCAACACAGAAGACAACAGACATACTCATTTTCACCTGAGTAAAGTGAGGAAATTCGTGTTAAGTGCTTTTCCAAAGGCTTGTTAATTCCGAGCCGAATGCTCTGTCGTTACGCTACACGACCCCAAACATTATTAATTTATTTGTTTGTTTGTTTGTTTATTTGTTTGTTTGTTTTGTTAGACGGTTTGCCGTACAGCGGTGTGGACGGTGTCATCTCGGCATCACGGCGCGGGAGATGGTGATGAGAGCGCGCGACTCCGTCTTTCACCTCGCCTGCTTCACCTGCGTCACCTGCGACAAGGCGCTCACCACGGGGGACGAGTTCGGCATGCAGGTGAAGAACACGGGGAGGGAGGGAGGGAGGGAGGGAGGGAGGGAGAGAGAGGGAGGGAGGAGAGAGAGAGAGAAGAG